GACTTATATTTAAAAGTCATATATACAATCCTGCTTCACCTAAAAAACACTTTTGTTCATGAGAGAATCATGGAATGACTGATGCTGAAGGGACCTTGGAAGGTCTTTGGTTTAGTCAGTGGGTGTCCCCTGCTCCTTCACTGAGAAATCTCAACACCAAATACAGACTGGGCTGCTGGGTTTGTGCAGTCTGGTCTTGAAAAATCACAAATTTATGTGTACCTTACTGAAGAGGCTGGTTTTGTCCTCTTGGGAACCCCTTCAGAGGTATGAGAAGGCTGTCATTAGGTCCACCCTAAGCTTTCTTGTTTCCCGGCTAAACAAGCCTGGTTCTTGCAACCTCTCCTCACAGGTCCTCTGTTCCAAACCCACCACTACTATGGAGGCTCTTCACTAAACTTACTGAAGTGTGTTGGCATCTTTCTTATACAGGTGACTGGGTTAAAACTGGACACAGTACTCCAAGGGTGGCTTATTAAGTGTTGCGTAAAGTGGAGTAATCCATCCCTTCAACCCATACAATTATAACAAATACAACATATCTAAAAGCCTTCACCTCATACACACTCTCTGGAACCAACACACAATTGCAGGAGAGAAAGGTGTTTCCCCTTTCTTCCCTTCAGTATTAGAAATCAGTTAAAGAATTGTCCATCAGAACTTCTGCTCTTCCTCTCTACCCAAATGAGTTAAGCATGCTAGAAGAGGGGCAAGCAAAGGATTCTTTTTCCTTTTCCCTTCCTTTCCCAAAGTTTTGGTATGACTTTTGCAATTATCTCTTGGAAAATGCCTCATTTCACAGTTGCACGAGATGTCTCTCCCAGAAAGACTGATGAAGTATTTGACCTGTTATTTAATAACCAGGAAGAGTAGACCATTAAAAAAAAATCTCAGCAAACAGATATCCAGGAAAAGACGGATCAACTGTGACACAGACTGAACCACAAAGAATGATCTAATGGACAGGGTTCTAATCTAAGGATCCTTGAGTTCATTTTTTTCTTTGTCAAGGACTCCTCTTAAATCTTTGTGAAAATAAGACACACATTTTCTGTGCCTATAAAACAGGGATAATAGATAGTACATTACTTTCTCATCAGGCAGGTTAGGAAGTACAGAGGCATCCCAGGCTGCTTGGAAACCGCACGAGTATGGTCAGCCCATCTGACCATACTCCATCTAATAGCATGGGCTACTCCTGCATGCTTTGCAAACATTTTTATCCTGTGAGCAAAGTGCTTGGAGGCCACACAGAGACAGATTTGTATTTGTGTTATCTGACCAAATCAGTGTTGCTGCACCAACCCTCAGATCCACACTCCTCCCAAAATATGCATGTGTGTTCCGAGCAATAACCCAGTCCAGCTGACCCACTGCCACCCAGCACTAGATATCCATCCCTCGTATAGACAAAGGGTATGACAGCAGCTGCTTTCCCACACTCATCATACCCTGAGCAAGCTCAGTTTCAGTACAGCAATAATTTAAAATAACTTGCAATTAAAAAAACTGGCTTTGTTAATGAGTACTTATTTAAAGAAGGGAAGAAAAAGAGTTAAACTCTAATAATGAAAATTACTAAACATTCCCATTCTAGATGTAATTTGAAATGGGCATCACAGGTTAATGGAAAAGCTGACAAGGTAGTTCTAATAATTATTTTTTTCTTAGTAAAAGCCTTCTAATAAAGGACTTAGAATGAAACCCTTGAAAATGAGTCTGAAAAATAAAGCATCTCTTATTTTACTCTTAACTAAGACTAAAGTTAATATTTGCATTTGAAGAAAAATGCACATAAGAAATGGGCCAGTACTTCATGCAGTCACCAGAAAGAACATAGCTGACATTCATTACTTACCATCAGTGTACACCACCAGTGGCAATTGTAGTTTACAAAAGAAACACACTGGATTGTGCTCAAGCATTAATATAGCACACCTTCACTGAATTTTTTTTTATTTCTTAAGTTTTCTCTTCTTGTGGCTTCTAGTGTCTAAAGCAAAAGCTTATCTTTAAGACTCTGTTAATACAATATTACTGTTTACCTCAAACTGCAACACTAATCAGCCATTTGCATCAGCATGTATGTGCACACAAATATGTGCTGTGATGGGTTTGTGTAGGGGAACTGCTTTTTAGTAGTGGAAGAAGGGGCTACAGTGATGGCCCCTGTGAGAAGCTTAGAGAAGCTCCCCTGGCTCCAAGGCAGACCTGCCTCCAGCCCGGGCTGAGCCAATTGGCAACAGGGAAAAACCTCTTGAATACATATTTATGAGGGGAAGGACTGGTTTAGCAAGGAAGAAGAGAGCCATTGGGAGACCACTGTCCTGAACAAAAATGAGCATCAACAACATAAGGAAAGAGGAGGAGGGGAGGAAACAGAGAACTTCAGACATGAAGTTCAGCAAGGAAAAGGTAGGGGGAGGTAAATGGAGCCCCTTGCAGCCCATGGAGGTTCAATGGCAGAGCAGACACCCCTGTGTAGGCCATGGAGGACTCCACACCAGAGCAGAAGCCTGCGTCTGACTACGTTGAGAGCTTGTGATAAGCAAGAAGACCCCAGCGGTGCCCACATCAGAGCCAGGGTAGGAGGTGTGCCAGAGTAGAGACTCATCTGCAGCCCATGGAGGTCCTCATGCCAGAGCCAGGAGCTGTGCCAAAAGAGGTCCACGACTCCATGGGAAGCTCACATTGGAACACTTTTTCCTGACTAATTCCTATTGCTTTGGTTGTGGTCAGGAGTCAATAACAAGCTGGATGCATTAATCCCACGTGTAGGACTGTATCACACAGTTGCCAATTACATTATGATATAAAGTAGTTCTGTGGATGAATATTCTTTGCACCAAACTCACACACTGAGTCCCAAGGTAATAAAATCTGTTCTGCTCCATAATGAGACAAGAATTTGGCAAGGTGCCAGTCATGTCCAGTGACTGCCAATCTGGCAGTGTTGTCTCCAAAATGGAATGAGAATTCTGCCACACTGGATTAATGAATGGGGAAGGAATGTCCATGGGATTCATAAAGGACCATGTATGATGAGGTATAAACGGGGTTTTTTTGTTTGTTGTTTAGGCTTTTTTTGTTTTGTTTTTTTTAATAAGGAAGAGGTTCTGCCCAATGAATGCCAGATGAGGTGTGAGGCCTGTATGGAAGGACTGAGTCTCCAACCATGCAGGTCAAGAAAGCATCTACAGCAGATTTGTAGAGAGAGAAGAAAAGCTTTTCAAATTTGATCCTTGTGAAAGGAAACCAACCTACTTGTTTACTTACATTTCTCTACAAACTGTTGTTATGTACTTTTGAAACTGAGTTGTTTGGGATATTATAAAGTAACATTTGCATTTGTGTTTATGTTAACCTAGCATATGAGTTAATAATTTCAAGGTGACGCCCATTACTGTGTGTAATGAGTATTAAGACTAGGCTACTGAAATACTCCAGTAAAATGCCAGATCCTACAGACAATGCTGCAGTGAATACAAAAGATGCCAAAAGGCAATTCTAAAGATACTGCACAAACTCACTAGAGAAGCAATATTGTTGAGTAAAGAGAAATCTTATCTTCAGTTAACAGTAGGAGCACTGTCCGTAATGAAGCACAATAGCATGGTAGAGTTGAATTGATATTTATTGCACATATTTCATATCACCTACAAATTGTTTTTCTTCACTTTGGATGTACTTCATTTACTATTTTCTCACTACGAGTATGTATTTTGCCTTCTTGAAAGTAAAGAGAGTAACTGCTTCAACTATACTATGCATTATTTTAAAACTCTAATTGCATGTATGCACAGACACATTTGAGGAAAAAAAAAAATTAATGACTGATTGGGGAATGTGTCAGTCTAAAAAAAATAAAGGAATAAATCAGAAACAACAACTCAAGACAAAAAGAAACATTCCCAAATGGAACAAACCTTTAAAGCCATCAGGATAGACTTCAGGAAGGAATTTAGTGCTGATATCTCCTTGGACAAAGCGTGGATGGATGATCACTTCTCGCAGTAAAGAAATATTATGAGCCACACCTGAAAACAAAACATTAATACAAAATCAGGTAAACATTAATCACAAATTACAGTAGGAAACAACTTGTAAAAATATGAGCTTTTATCCTTGTAGAATAAATATTTGTTAGCAACTTAGAGATCATAGTACTGATGTAATCAATGCAAATCTACCAGTTTTGTTCCACTCCTGCTTCAAGATACCCTTCTTAAACACTCAGTTTAATTAAAGAAGTAAACTTTTCAAATTTTCACCTCAACAGGCCTAATTCAAACACTTAGTTAAGCCAATGACAGCAAGCACAACAACCAAGAGACCTTTGGTTCAGTCCTAGCAGATGTACGCAAGACCAGAGCCATCTCCTTGAAATGACAGATTAGTCATGACTAAGTACCAGCTCAATTCCAGTGAACTCTGGCCCACCTTGTCATCCTGTCACCTTATATATACACTCTCCTGTGGATGATATGTGCCATGCTACAGCCCAATCACAGTAATGACAGATAGTAAAAAATTTTAGCACATATATAATTTTGTAATATTTTTATCGTTTGTAAGTCGTAAGAGATTCCTGTAGAACTTGCAAAACAAAGAAATCTATTGCTTGCTCCATATATACCTTTTATTGCCTGGCAAATACCTTTTATTGTCTAGCAAATTCTTTTCTTGAACACCCTGTTCCCTTCCATGATCCTGCTAGGCATATAGCAAAAAAAAAAAAAAAAAAAAATTCTTTAATTAAAAAAATTACTTATCAGAGCCCACATAGCCACCTTTGTCTTTTTATTTCTTTGAATATTACTTTTTTTTTTCTGAATTACTTAATCTCCTTTCATTCCACTTCTCATTCCATCCTCTTTCTTTTTCACATTTTTCATTCTCTTCTTTTCCCTTGCTTTTTGTGCCAACAAAGGCAGACAACTTCTAACAAATGCAATACAAAGCTACACAGCTCAAAGGATGTTGCCAGTGTTAGTCCAGTACTTGCACACAAAACAGTAAGTCCTCTGCCCCTTCCCCACAGATGAGTAAAAGATTAATTTGCTTTCTCAGAGAGGAAAGGAATAAACTATATCCTATTTCCAGCATAGGCTGGAAAAAAAATATAATCAGGAGTAGATGTCAGCACAAGATACGTACTCAGGATAGTAAACACTGGAAAAAGATTGTCTACGGAAAGATTCTGGAGTCAGTGAAAACATTTAAAAGACAGGTTACAGAAACACCTGTCAGGATGCAGATGTAGTTGCTATACCTTAGTTCAGGCAGGGAGACTAGATGACTTTCTGAAATCTTTCAACCTTTATTTTTCTTTTAATTTAACATGGGTGTGCAATTAAGTTAGTAACTTAATGCTACACTGCACTTTGCCAGAAGTACTTGCAGGTTAGCCCTGAATATGATGGTCATTAAAAGTCATTTCACTCAAATATTAAATACAAAGTAGTCTTTGAAGGAGGTGAGAGAAGAAAGGAGGTGAAAAAAATCCCCAAAATAATGATCCCCAAGATAATTTAAATTATCTTCTGCTTACTGCATTGCAAAGAATTTTCAAAGATAACGTACTTTCTCTTTTGAGAAAGTCATGTCTGGAAAGTAAAGTTTAAGATTATGCAGGTAAGAGAAAAAAAAATCATCTTTATTTCAACTCTTCTCAATTTGGGAAAAAGACTAACAGAAAATTTGAAGAGCCACCATAGTTCAATCCCAGTACAACTACACAGAATAGCACTGCCTCATAAACATTAATATTTCTTAACAGAAGCTGAAATAGACATGCAATTCAGCAGCATAAACCATAAGCGTTGGCTGCAGCTGTTGCATCCATTCCAGGTGTGGATAAAAGAGGAAGCTGCTATAGGAAAGAGGTTATCCAACCTTAGCTGTGCACTGTGCACATTCTCACCCTGTAGGAAACACACAGTAATTCAAATTCTTTCCTCTCAGAGTCAGAGGGACAGGCAACTCCAAATTGCATTGCATTTTCCAGGTCACATGAACTTTGGTGTTAGGTGCACACCATGAAGTATAAAACGCAGAGCACATCACAAACTATCTTGTAAAAATCTGTGCATCCCTACCTCATGTAAAGCACAAGATTCTGAACTTCAACTTTATATATGTTTACTTACAAGTTAATATGATTAATAGAGTGATGACATGATTCTGAAAGTTATTTGCACATTTTTTCTAATAGCTCTAGTTTAAAATAACATAAGAACTCATTGTTAACTCAGATCTCTCAGCTTTAAATTAAACTATTTGGATCTTTTCCCCTACAGAGATCTCACCAACTCAAAAAACCACTAACAGTACAATGACTGTGAATTGCTGTAGCTACAGAAGGAGATTCTTTTGCGCTTCTACTTCTTTTCCCTTTGTGTTTTCCCAGTTTAGAAGCATGAATAACAGTCTTGTTATTTCATATGCAGACCAGTTCAAACCGTTTCAAAGCTTTTTTCCCCTACAGTCTGCTGCTGGTGTGAATTTTCAAGCTCTCTGTGTGGTCGTCACTGAAACCACTTTCAACACATGGAGTCAGACTCAGCCTCATTGAATCATGAAGTCATAGCTTTAAAGACTAGTTCATGGACTACTAAGTAGCACATTACACATTCAATGATGACAAGACAAAAATTTGACCATTTGATTAAAAGACGATCAGCTTCCTTGCTGCCTGTGACCTAAATAGTCATTCATGGACCTGATCTCAACCACTGAATGAAACTCACATTGCACCTCCACCAAACAAGAAAAATGTTAAGAAATATTATGCTAAATGACAATAACTTGCAAACAAATAGTCTTCCTTTGTCTGCTACAAAATCCTCCCAAAATTTCCCATTTGAATAGTAAGTTGAAACATCAGAGATTTTCATCTATTAAGCACAGCTTCAGGACTGTAATTAGAAGACAGAGAGGAGCTCTTCAATGCTCCCTGATTTTGAAACCAGGATTTAAACACATTACAATGTGTAACCAGATCATCTCATGTTTTTCTTTCCTAAACTGCTATAAGATCCCTGGTGAGATGATGGCTGATGACAGATGACAGAGCTTGGTGTCTCAACTGACTGCCCCAAAAGACCTGAAATCAAAAAAATACTATGAGTATTTTAATTATTTCCAACTCATGTGCATCAGGAAAATCAGAGGCTTCTGCAACGTTTTAAGCTCCAAAATTCCTCTAACAAGTTCAATAGAGCAGACAAGCCTAGCTGTTTGGGAAGCAATATAACACATTTATTTTACATATGTAAATTAAAATTTAATACGCAACAGTCTCCCTTTAAAGTATCATGAAAGGCTATTCTTTATCAGACCCTGTGATCATTATGACTGCGTAGCTGATCAGTTCCTCAAAACTGAGTTGATGCCTTTAGTGATGTTCCAAATCATATGGTTTTAAAAAAAACCTAAAAAACCTACCAGTGTAATCCTTCAGAAGTCTAGAAGTTTTAGATTTGCAATTTAGCATGACCTCTGTCAAAGTTCATAAGGTCTCCATCTGTGCGTGAGTAACAGCTAGGCTACAGAAATATGGACCCCTAGAGCAGCTTGCTCCTGACTACCTGCTGCTTCCAAAACACTGGCCAGACACTAGTCCTACACTCTCACAGGATCAAACAGAGGCTAACAGGCAGTACTTATTTCATGCAAAGTTAGACACTAAACTGAAGTATATTGTATTTATGTTGCAGTGGTTTTCAGGGAATTTTTCTTTTTCTTGACCAGGTCTGCAGTCTGCCAGGAACAAAATCACATTTGTTAACCTGACAAGCCATGACATTTCCAACAAACAAACAAAATACTAAACTATATCAATTTATTTCCCCTCCAGAAAACAAAATTTCAATTCAGCATCTTTTTACTCTGTTAGGACTGATGAAGAATTGCAGTTACAGTTCTATTCTTTTCTCCAAGTCAAAATATAATAAAAGATAATAATCAATGTTCCTTGTACTTCTATTTTTTCATTTCACTTCCCTGTATTCTTCATACAATATTGCATCAGTAGAAGCTCAATATAAGATGTACTTCTTGGATTTCAATTTTTACACACTATTTTCCAGAATACACGTGTAAAAGAGAGCAGACTTGCATTTAACTTATGGAGATCTAATGAAATAAAAATATATATATTTTATGTTTTATACATAACAAACATGTATTCCTGAGGTTCAATTAATTTTACAGTTAAAAGCTGTAGTTATTGCCTAATGAATAAATGAGCATGCTAAATAATCACACTGTTCAGAGTTGATTAGTAACCACTACTTGAAGTACTCAATTAAAAAACTAAAATAAAATCATAATCAGAAGCAATTACTCCCCATACTGCCTGTCTCTATCTTGCCTTCTTCCCTTCCTCATTCTCTGGATTACATTTGCCTTAAAACCTTGCTAAATACACCAGATTTTCACTACCATACAAACTGTAGCCTAAGTCCTAACCTGTCTTCCCAAGAAAACATAATGAAAAGAAAGACATTAAAATTAATTTTATAGAAAACAAAGATTTTATAGCAGTTTTATGAACAGGCTAATCACATCACATTTTTACTCACTAAAAATCAGAACTTGGAATGCCAAGGCACAAAACCATAAGCGATGTTTTCACTACAAATATTTACTGACACTAAACATATTCAGTGTTGATTAGCCTTTTTACAGTATTAAGCTTCTGTCATCTTGACATCTGCAAATACAAATCTGCATTTATCCATGTAAACTTAATTGGAGTCCTACATGCCTCTCTGTAGATAAGCAGCTGAATATACTTAACTTGCTGATAATTTCAAATTGTGCTAAGTGGAATAGAAATAATTTTTTTATCTGCCTACTTACTGATTGCAAAAACAACATGTGCAGTACAGTACTAGAGGTTTATCTTTTTTAAAAAATAGCAAAGCTAAATTTAACCAATCTACTTAAATGTTAAATAAGAATAAATGCTATGAAGTTTAGGAGACATCCCAGCTGATTTCTCTAACCAAAAAATAATTTTAAAAAAAAAGTA